GCGAAAAATCGTTTTAACAAAACTTAACAAACTGTAAAATGGGGTAAATTACCTCAGATATAGTGTTTATCTGCTCTTTTCTGAGTCGTTGCATCTTTTCCGAAGTAATCAATGAAATTGAGCTCATTGTCGTATCTGGATGGTCGACACAGATGCCGCAGCGCACGATTTCTAATGCTTCGTTCACATCTTCCTCGGCCAATCTAACATACTATAAATATATTAAGGTGATTGTATTTCAAAAGATTACTTGAAGTCTAGTATAACCGATGATAATATCAAATATTGGTGTCACATTATTTCTATTTATATTAACTGTTATTTAAAAAAAACCTTTTGCCATTTGTCAGCCATAGGAGCTTCTAAATTGGAGCTTAAAAACCTCTGCCAAATCATTAAGGTTACTTGTGGCCCATTGACAAGTTTTTTACTTGTCCAATATCCCTGTTTAAAATCCAAAATCGTTTTCGGATTTTCCCCATAATACAGCTACTAGGTACTTGTCGCTTCCGATTCTTCAAAGACGTAGATTGTTATATATGAAATGCAATAAAGCCGTAAAACCATATAATGTTTAAGCAATTAACATCGGTCAAAAGTCAAACAGGAAGTTTTGCTAATTATAAGCAACTATCTGATAAAGTATTGGAGATGTTTGTGCAGATCTCGTGAAGGAACTGTTGAACAATGATTCCGAAGAAGCAAATAGGCCGCTCCCAGCACTACTTAAAATTCAGGCATAAATACTGATTCAGGAAATATATTCATTTGATGCGGAGACTAGTCTTTAATAAAGCTCTTTAAAATAGAGCAATGGCTTTGCTAAGTTTTTCTAAAAGCAGGGCTACCAGTGTCCCTAAAGATAGCAACGCTTGGTATGGCTGTACTTTTCAGGTCTGTTCTGAATAGTGAGCATGGACTTAACTAAAGATGTTTCTTTATTTATAACAGTGTTGTCAGCCGGCTTTAAGTTAGATTCAGAAAAACCCTTTCTGAACAATCATCCAGCAAGCTACCTTAGATTAGGTAAGGGTTTTCACCTGAATATATATTATTATGGCCGCTGTTAGGAGTACACATGACTTGGGCGTTATCATTCAAGACGACCTCAAAACCCGAGAACAATCAACTCTAGCGAGACGCAAGGGTCTGGCACTACTGTGGATTTTCAAAAGAGCATTCACTTCCTGGTCCATGCAGTTTTTCCGTAAGCTTATGGTCACACTCATCCGCCCGATCGTGGAGTATGGATCGACCG